CAGCCTGTGCAGCTCAGACTGAGGAAGTGGCTTTCAGCTGCATGGTGCGGGGCCGGTTCTTACTGTTTTTCTTGTGTGTCAGATGATACAGGAAATCGACTTCGGTTCCAGCTGGAGTTGGAGTTCGTTCAGTGTCTGGCGAATCCAAATTACCTGAACTGTGAGTACTCTAAAAGTAAACACCAGGTTCCCAAGGAATTAATATAATGTAATGGTGTTTATTGTTACTGGTAACGTTAAACAGAAACAGCTAAACAGGGATTGGGTGTTTCACAGACTAAAGGTGGTCTGTAAATAATTTGTCTATATTTCCAACAGGTGGGTTTTTAAAAATGCAAAATGGTTTATTGGTTATAAAAAAAAAAACCAAAACAAACATCTATATGATGGAGGGGGAAAAAAAAACAAAAGAAAACAAGAAACTCAAGTCTGTAGTTTAAAAGTAATGCCAAGTTAACAGGATTCCTTTATCTGAAAACAGAATTTTACTAATTTTAAGAACAGTTTCATGTACGATACTTAATTTCCTGCCAATTTTGATGCTACAGATTGTAATGATGAAGTTCTGACTAAAGTGCATCTTTATAGAGTTTTGTGAATACTTATTCTTTAAGCTGGGCACATTTTTTCATGCATCTGTAACTGACGGTTCCTTATTTGTAATTTTATTTCAGTTCTTGCACAAAGAGGGTACTTCAAAGACAAAGCTTTTGTAAACTATCTTAAATATTTACTTTATTGGAAAGAACCTGAATATGCAAAATACCTGAAGTAAGTGTTAAAATCGCTTTGGTTTCTGCATTTTAATGGTGTGATTTTTACCTTCTGTGGTGCACTGTACCTTTGCATGTCTGTATTTAATTTCTGCCTGTCACTTTGCCTTTGTGTTCCCTACTGTTCATATGCAACATAAATATTTCTGTTTGGAATCTTCTTTTTGCAGCCTTTGTCTGCACTTTATCATTTGTTTAAAATAACTGTTGAACGTTATAGTACAAAACTAATTCAATTAGACCCAGTAAGTACATTTTAAGAGTAATTTTTTATTGTTGATGCTTACACGAATCAGGAGATGTTTGCACTTTTGGGAGTGTTAAAAATCCTTCAATTTTTCTGAAAACAGTTTTTGTTTATGCTCTTTAAATGAGCTTTGGAAACGGGTATTGTAGTTAGATATTTGTTTTAATAAAATCTAGCCATGAGGAAAGCTACTCCAAGCATGTAGATGTGTCTATAAACTGTTACATAGTTCAGCCTAATACAGAAGTTAAGTTACACTGTGTGGAATATGTAGTCTTAAGTGGTTTGATACTTGAGTAAAGCATATACATGATAAAACTAAATTAATGAACTGCAAAATTAGAGACGCTAAGTTTAGCGTACCTTATATAAGCTTGTATTAAACTGTGTATTTTTAATCCAGGTATCCTCAGTGTTTGCATATGTTAGAGCTGCTCCAGTACGAACATTTCCGCAAAGAACTGGTCAATGCTCAGTGTGCTAAATTTATTGATGAGCAACAGATACTTCACTGGCAGCACTACTCACGGAAGCGAATGCGCCTCCAGCAAGCACTTGCAGAGCAGCAGCAACAAAACAACACCTCTGTGAAATGAAAAGCTCTTGGAAGAGTGTTAAGGTATACTCTCTGTCAGTCAAAGGATTTACAGGAGAGCAATGAACCCTTTTCTAGGTTTGGCTCTGGGTGTTTGTGCATTTAATTTCCAATTTATCAAGTGACTGGGGATTTTTTTCTTTTGTCAACTTTAAAGTTCTAAGACTGGTTAATCCTTAATTCTGTAATTTATTTTGTAGCACAGACAGTTTTGTAAGAGCAATACTGTAGTTACTGACGCCTTGATCTTGAAAAAAAAAAAGCTTTGTTACCAACTGCAGGATGAGCAACGTTGAAGTGATAACATTGTACAAAATCTAAATTACAGATTTTTGTCTTGAAACCAAGCTGAGCTGCTACTCTTCACTTTTGTTTGTCTGGTAATCATTGTTGCTGGAGGGCCTCACAGTTAACCTTACAGCATGTTCTACACGTTGAAATCAAAAGTATAAGGAGACGAGGACCGCAGGAGAGATAATAATAAACTTTGCAGATACTCAAAAGAAGGAAACAGGCTCTAGCTGTATCTATTCCATTAAAGTCAACTTAGTTCCATCTTGTTTTTCTGCCAGTGAAATAGGGACTGCTTTTAGGCTTCTCTACAGTATGTGTAGTGAAAATACTGTGTGTTACCAAAAAAAGATGTAAATGTTCGTGGTATTGGAGAAGCATTTACCATTTATTTCTGTATAGTTTTTATTGTAAGAACACAGATTAGGGGATTTAATTTTCATATTTTAGATTTTATTCATGCTGCATCCATGTTTTATTTAATATCTTTGGAGGAGCAGGTACTGCAACTGTCAAGCCTTTAACGTGATCAGTGACACCAAGACTCAACCTTCATCATACGGTACTTGGGCTGAACAGACAAGCCATTAAACATCTTTGGCTTTGAAAATTTATCTTAACAGCTTCAGTAGCTATGTGATGTCAAATTTAGGAAGAATAAGTGTTTTCTGTTTCTCCTACCCTCCCACCCCCTTCATTATTAAAAGTATAACTTAGCAGATAAGCCTTACTGTAGGCTGCTCTCTCTCAATTTATAATAACATGAGCTCAGATCCTTTGCAAAGAGACTGTTTGCAGACTCAAGTTTATTTCAACATGAAAAGAAAGACAAGTTTTTGTTGCACGATTTTAGTGGAAGATTTGAACTTAGAATTCAGTGACATTTATTTCAGTCTAGTCAACATAATTAACCATTAAAATTGTAAAAAAGGTTAAGGATTTCTTGAAAGGAGACTGCAAGTAACTTGAGCTTAACATCTGCATAAACGATTGACTCCTGGAGGATTTAGTCTTCAGTAAATAACATACGCACAAGCTCTGCTTTAAAACATTCCTCTTCCACCAGCTTCTGAGGCTGAAAGAAAGATTAGGATGTTACAGGGGGCAGTTGAAAAGCCTGTTCTAGACTAGAGCCAGTTGTACATGCTAACGTCAGCCATACTACAGCAATTCTTTTTTGCTTGCTAGAGCAAGCAAGGTAAAAAACTGAGAAATACCTGAGGGTTTTCTGGCCTTAGAAGAGGCGTTTCTAAGAAAGTGACAGACAATTTAAGTAATATGGACAATTTGAGCTGTATTCTATTTGACTCAAGAGTATACTGCACATAACTTTTCACTCCTGTCATTCAGCATTTGGATTTTTACAATTTAAGGATCTGCAAGTCAGGAAGCTAACAATACGTTGCTATGGATTTTCTGTATCCCTCAACCACTACATGCTCAGTGTACCCATTTTCTTTACTCTGTTTCTTACAGACGTTATACAGAAAGCAGACTGGTTGTCTCTTGAGGAGCTGTCTGAGCCAGGAAGAGCACATGGGTGGGAGCAGAAGAGCTCCTAACTGTCTGCTCCTTTTAAAGGAAAAGGTATCAGGAAACATGCATAACTAATTTACAGTCATAAGCTCCTGCCCCAACCCTAAAGCCTGTAGATGCAGAACATACAATAAATCACTTACTGTTCCATATTTAAGTAGTGTAGGCACTCCCGTTAGTTTCAGATTTTTCCTGAATTCGTTGTTGGGATCCTTCCAGCTGTTCAGGAAGAAGGGGTTAAGAACAGCTTCTAGAAATGCAGTCTGAAGTTAGCCTGTAAAAATTCCTTCAGAAGGTTGATTCAAGGGTCTTTGCTTTGTACCTCCCCACCCCACTTCTCAGACAAAGCATGCAGACAGTTCACATGAGGGATGATGTAGACCTCAAAACTCAAAAAATGCTTCTTTCCTTGCAGAAAAGGCCAGTTCAGTCTGTTGTCACAACAGGCTAGTTAACCTCCAGTCCACAAATAGCAAAGATAGCAGTTTGTATTAACACAGTTACTTACTAGGCTCTGTCTCCTACTAGGCAGTAGATGAATACAGACCCATCAGGCATGTTATGAAGTTCCTTCCTCACAACTGGTTCAGCTAGAGAGTAATTATAGAAATCTGTTAGCAGTTAATACTTTTACTGTGCTACAGAATCACATGGATCTACTTTGACCAGCAAGGCTGATAATTAATGTTTTGCTTGCTTCAGGTAGAGATCTGTATTTTGTTTCACCTGGTTATGCACAAGCTTTGCTGAATTTCTTACATGCCCAGCCTTGAAGGGACTTGTCTTTGAGTAAAGGCCAATCAAAAAAGAATGGTCCCGTCTGTGTGAAAGCCAGCTGGTAAGCAGTTGCCTGTATGATGGCATAGGTGATCCACACAGTTCAGTGCAACGTCTCCTGAAGCACCTTCCTCTCCTACTGCCAGACGCTTGACTGATGGGTCACTTCTGCTACCTGACGTATGAAGCAGATGTGAATTAACCAAGATTAACATCTAATTGATTGCTGGGCCTCTGTATCAGCCTCTGCTGAAGAACATATTGCATTACGTGCCATTCAGTGGAATGTGGGTAACGAACCCCAGAGCCGCACAGTCAGTGAGGCAGCAGCTTTAGCTAGCTC